GCCCCATCTAGGATTCTTCTGCTAGGTTTCAGAAAATAGCACTACATCTTGTCCTACTATGGCCAAGACTATCAGCACTGGATTGCCAGATCCTGCTTCCAAATCTTTGTTATTAATCATAGTAAGTTTTTAGACTTTCAATTTGCACTTGTTCAAAGTAGAGCATTTTGTAGAACAATCAATTTCCAATTGTTACCTGCAGAAAAATTTAGATGTACCTGATAACATAATATGGAAATTTGGTTCCGGTTTTACCTGTTAACTAGGGGTAAATCATTTCTTAATATTTCTCMTCTGAACACTTTTTTTTTCTCTTTCACATATTTTTCTCTATTATGGTCATTGGCAATGGATAAACCATCTTAAACACATTTTGATGTAAAGTAACACTTTCTGATAGARTCAGATTTGATCCTGATAGGGTCAGACACTACTATCTGGTAAAATAGTTTTACTACTGATGTTAGAATGCTTTCTATGTAATTCATTAGAAGTTCTCAATAGCAACATTTAAGGGATTTTTATGCCTTTTTATTTTATTCCTGTTAGCTATGGAGAGTCAATATCTTCTTTCCTTCATTAAATAAAGTGGCAAAATTCATAACATTTTTTAAACAGATAAGGTATGTCCCAGTCTAACTGGGAAAGTGGCAATATTGYTCTTCACCCATTAAAATGTTTAGGAGAGAAATAGTTTCTTTATTACCACTGTCTTCTTGTGACTATTTGAGAACCACAATAGCATATTTCTTCTCCCCCTTGTCATCCTTATCATAGCACAGAGCAGCCTATCTGCTACCAAGATCTAGTGTCCAACAAACTTAGGAGAACTGACACATAATTGATAAATAAGAATAAAATAATATTCCCACTAGAAACACAAGATAATTCTAGTTTCCCCACATTCAGTGTTTTGCATAATCAATTATTTCATTTTAGTTCTTACAGAGACTGCATCATCATATTATTTTAAAGTACATTTTCTCAATGACTAAGAAGTTTGAGTATGTTTCATATGCTTTTGGCCATTCAGATATAATGGGTTGTGAAGTAGATTATAGTGCCTTGGTTCTTTTTTCTATTGGGTTGTCCATCTTTTCCTTATTTATTTGTAGACATTCAATATATATATATATATATATATATATATATATATATATATATTTTGTCTAGATATGACTCCTCAGTTGATTATAACTGGGGCAAATTTCATCTTCCACTCTGGTTTCTTTTCACTCTATTGTTTACACACTTGAAGAGAATTTCATAATTTACTGAAGTCCAATTTATAAATGTTTTCCCTAATGATTAGTGCCTTTTATGGCCCAATTAAGAAATCATTCCCTGGCCCAAGATCAGAAGATAATTTCCTTGTTTTTGTCTAGAATCTTAACTGCTTTACACTTTGCATTCAGATCTACAAGTAAAAAAATGCCTGGCAATAATTCTTTTATGTTTGTTGTGAGGTAGAATCCAAGATTAACTTTCTTCCTACTTATATAACAAATTGACCAAGTTATTTGAAAATTCTGCCTTTACCCCTACACTTTAGTGCTACTTTTTCTCTAAATCAAATGGCTAGTATGTCTGGGTCTATTTCTTAATTTTAATTATGCTCCATTAACCTATTGGTACACTTATCATTGTACCAAAACCAAATGCTTGCATTAYCATAGATTTATATTATCATACAGAATAAGTCCTATAATTTGTTCTTCAAAATGTCTTGACTATCCTTGGCCTTGTTTACTATTTCATTGAAATGACTCAAAATGTTATACTTCTTCATCATAAATTTTTATCAGAATTACCAGTAGACTTAAGCATTGAATCCTCCTCTTCCATTTCACATCTCATCTTCAAAGAATTTTCACCTTGTACCAACAGACATATTTGAATAAAATCTAAAAAAGAAGGGAAAAAAATATTTTTAAAAAAGAAATTTTGCATTTATTTTGTAAGAAACTGTTAGTCAGCTTTTAATCATTATGACCAGAATACTTAAAAGACCAACTTAAGAGGAGGAAAAGTTTATGTTGGATCATGGTTGCAGAGGACTCAATCCATGGTGGGTTAAAACAATTGATCTGGTCCTGGGGTGACACAGAACATCATGGTGGAAGGGCATGGCAGAGGACAGGTGCTCAGCTCAGGGTAGCCAGGAAATTGAGAAAGAGTTAGTGTCAGGGACAGACATAGTCCTGAAGCCGTGCCTCAATGAACTACTTCTTCCAGCCATGACACACCTGCCGGTAGTTTTTCATCACTTCCCAGTAAATTCATTGAAATTATTAATCCATCAAATAAATTAATCTACTGATGAGATCACATGCTTCATAATCCAAACAGTTCATCTCTGAATATTGCTGCATTTAATAACACATGAGCTTCTAGGGGCAATATTACAGATCCAAATCATAACATTCCACTCATGGGCCCCAAAATCTCATGACTACTTCACAATGAAAAATTCCTTTWAGTACATCTGCAAGAGTACCCATAATCTCCAGAGTTCCAGCATTGCTCAAAAATCTAAGTCCATAGACTCAAGGCAAACCCTTAGCTGTCAGCTCCTATAAAAATTATAAAGCAATTTACATGCTTCCAATATACAATGGCACAGAGGAAACACACATTATCTCACACATGAGCTTTTGAGGGAAACCTCACATCTCAACTATAACACTATGTCATTCTGCAAGACAATTAACTTCTTTTTAGTGGTGGCAATCTCTTCAACGATCCTACTTCCTTGACCCCAGTTTTAGTGCTTTGTCTGGCCAGACTGCAAGAAAACCACCACATACTTCAGTTTCTGGACGTAGAGTTTTGGGACTTAACATTTGCCCCACTGGGTTTCGATTTTGCTTTGGTCCCATTCCTTCTTGCCCCTATTCCTCCCTTTTCAATGGATGTTTTCTCTGTGGCATTGTATATTGGAAGCATGTAAATTGCTTTATAATTTTTACAGCTCACAGCTGAGAGGTTGCCTTGAATCTTGGAGGTGGCTTTGGACACAGAAGCAGAAAGAAGAAGCAAGGGAGGGGCCACAGGGGCAATGCATCCTTTCAGAGCACACCCCAGTGACACACCTCTTCCAATCATGCCTCATCTGYTTACAATTACCACRCAGTTTGTAGGTTCAAACTAGGATGAACTGATTGGGTTATAGCTTTCATAAGCCAGTTATTTACCTCTGGATATTGTTGCATTTACACAGGAGCTCTTGGGGATACTTTATATCCAAACCATAACAGAGGGTTGATCTTTTCCACAGCCCCTCTCTCTTCCCTTCCCAGCTGCCATGAATTGAACAGCCTTCCTCTGCCTCATCCTTCCATTATGGTGTTTCTGCCTTGAACGCAGCTGACCAATGGCTGAATCCTCTTAGACCATGAATCAAAACAAATCCTTCCTACTCCAAGTTGTTCTTGTCAGACATTTTGTTTACAGTGACACAAAGGTGACTAAAAATTCTATTCAGTTTATTTAATGTGAGATCTCCCAGTTAGATTCAGGTTATACATTTCTGTAGGATGTCACTGAATTAACGTTACATTCAATCAGTTGAAACTCAATTTGAATTTATTCCATGGCTTGTCATCTGTTGCATATATGGTGGCCAGCTTTTTTACTTATCCTTGGAAAGTTGAATCTGGAAAAGCCTCGCTTGCCACAACTGAAAGCTGAACTACTCTATGTAGAATTTCTCAGTTATACTTTAAAATATTCTTGCTAGTTAAGTTCTAATTTCATAAATAAGGTGCTCGGTTTCAAATTTTATTTTGAACTAGTTGATGCAGTGTGCCAAAGCCTAGCTACTAGAAAACTAGGGACATTTCATATAGCTCACTGAAATTGGGGGAGAGGGATAGACCATAAARTTCATTCAAAGTACAAAAGATAGGAGAACAGCCTAAAGTAATTTGAAAAACAAACAAAAGAGTGAAAAGGAAGATTATTTTTATTTGTAGAGAAACCTAGCAGATTATTTTTCTGATAGAATAGGGATTGAATATCAAGATGCATGATTAATCAGAGATTTCCTGCAGACAAAACTCAAGGCAGAGAGACATGAGCTTGCAGGACAGTTATGCAAGCAAAAAGCCTGAGCAAACACTTGCAGAACCCATAGAAATAGATATTTTCAACCTCCAAAGATCACAAAGGAATAAGAAAATAAGTCATCTTGGAACTGAGCAATCAGATTTGCCAAAAGTACCAAAGCTCCAGGGTCAATGACTGTTGAGTAGAGAAAAAACAGTGAAGAGAATATCTAAATGGAAAGGGTGCCTTATGAGTGTACCAAGTGAAATGTGCAATGAGAGGCTAACCTTTGATTTGCCACCAACTCCTTCCAACTGTGAAATTTCAATACCGTGGGGGAAAACCAACTTAACCTTTTTTACTAGAATAGCTGGATAAAGAGACTGATTACAAAGAGAAAATGGAAAGAAAACTGTGCACCAAAGCAGAGTATTAGGGGGGAAAAGGGGCCTTTCACCTATTCTTTTGGATATTAACTGCATATTATGAACTAGCAAGCCAAGATCTGGGTGGGGACTTAACATGAAAAGCATTGTGTTTTGGCTTCTTCTACTGGCAGGTAGAGGGCAAGGCAGGGAGAACAGCATAAATATTATCACCCAGGGTTTCTTCYGTTAGGGTGTATGTATCAAAACAGACGCTCAAGTTTGGGTTGTGTGCTTCATCATATCTCACAGAATGCATAGCTCCTCTTGACAAAGAGGCAGAAAATAATTCAGTGGTGTTGATGTTAAAGAGGTCTAGGGTAATTATATAGACTGATAAACCAAATGCTTTGGTCCTTTTCCTGAAACAGCTCTATTATAGGGACACAATCAATAATGCCTCAAATGTATAGCCCAAGTTTGAAAGAATATATTCTGCCTCTAAAGTWGGAAATATTGCATTTTTATGAAAGACTCAGTCATTTTATGACAAGGCATTTTATCTCCAATCACGTAATCACCTTTCAGATTATATCCTCTGGGATCTGTGGTACAGATAAGCACATCCTGGAAGGAAAAGACAAAGTACAACTTCCTGCAATTTTGGGTCATGAGGGAGCTGGGATCGTAGAGAGCATTGGAGAAGGTGTAACCAGTGTGAAACCAGGTAAGTAAGGGCCAGATACGGTGTCAACTCCTGTTCAAATTAGCTTTTAAATTATTCCCCAACAGCACTGTAAAATACGGAATCCATCATACTTTGACAAAAACATTAAAATGCATTCACACACCAGGTACAGTGCACCATATAAGCAACCTAAGATTCAGAATGTTCCAGTTTGAGTTTGGGTAGCTAAGACAGGAGGATCTCGAGTTCAAAGCCAGCCTCAGTAACTTAGCAGGTGCTAAGCAATTCAGTGAGACACTGTCTCTAAATAAAATGCAAAATAGAGCTAGGGATGTGGCTCAATGGTAGGTCGAGTGCCCCTGAGTCCATCCCTGGTACCCTCCCTCCCCTCCCCCACAAAAAACACAATCTACTCGTTTCCATACAGATTATGGCAAATCTATATTCCCAAAATTAAACTAAGAATTGAAAATATATACAATGTATTCTAATACCAGTAAATTTAAAATATGTATGATTGACAATTTTTTTCTACACACACACACACACACACACACACACACAATAATCTTCTAAATTGTCTGGAATAGGTATCATTTATAAAAGTTTCTTTCAGACTTTGTATTTGCATTTTTATACTGTTCATGTTTCAAAACTTTTACTATGTTATATATGTTATTCTAACAATACACACACATGTCATAGATATTTTAAAACCACTTTGTGAGGAAATAGAAGCCTTGGCAAAATAATCATTTTATTAATTTAGCTACTTAATGACAGAGCAAGGATTGAGGACACAGGAAGCTTTCCCTCAAATTCTAGACTCTTGTTCAATAATAAAACATTTCATAATAAATATTAATTCTGGCATTAGCATTGGAGTATTAACTCATTGTTTCAACAAATATCAAGTATATATTAAATGCAAACTTGATCTTTCTCCTGGGATAGAACACTACCAAAATAAGTCAGGCACTTTGGCATGTACCTGTAATCCCAGCTACTTGGGAGGCTGAGGCAAGAGGATGACAAGTTCAAGGTAAGCCTAAGAAACTTAGCAAGATCCTGTCTCAAAATAAAAAATAAAAAGCATCGGGGATGTATCTCAGTGATAGAGTACCCCTGAGTAGTTCAATCTCCAGTACAAAAAAAATGCTGTCAAAATAGAGGAGCCTTATACCACATATATTGATGCCACTGTCTTACCTTTGATTCCAATTTTATGAAACATAAATTCCCCCAATTTTTTTCTACTTTGAAGGTCCATTTGCATTAAAATTGACTTGTTTCTATTCCAAAGTGAAATTATAAATAACTTAAAAGATAATGATAACTTTTATTATAACCAATCACAAATATTTACTATGAATGATACCTTATAGATAAAGGTGGGGTTTATTACATTCAATGTCTCCACCCAGTTGATAATCATTTTCTTTGTTCTTTTTCCTTAGGAGATAAAGTCTTAATGTTGCCTCTTCCAGAGTGTGGAGAATGTAGTTCTTGCTTGCACCCCACGGGCAACTTCTGCTTGAAGCAAAGGTTAGTTTCAATTTCTTTGACTTTCTTTCACCCCATTTGATTTCACTGATACAGTTATGGACTTAGAGCTAAATCCTTTATTTCTCTTTTTGTCACTATGTATCTGTGGAACAGTATTCTTCCTCCAACTGGATTAATGTTAGATGGAACCAGCAGATTTACCTGCAGAGGAAGGAAGATTTATCATCTTTATGGCACAAGCACATTCACTGAATATACTGTGGTWCATGAAATTGCAGTGGGGAAAATTGATGATGATGCTCCCATGGATACAGTCTGTATCCTAAGCTGTGAGGTCCC